ACTATTGACGATAAAGAGAAATTAACTCTTAATCAGCGTTTGCCTGCGAGCCCTAAAGTCTCAATTTCTGCTCTCGGTTCGGATTTGGGATTGTAGGAAGTCTTTGAGTCCACCGAGTTCTAATGGGCAGCCTACCTGACTTGCAGTTTGGAAAGTAAAGGCGGCGTTTTTTTTTAGGTTTTTTGTTTAGGTTTTTTTGTTCAGGTTTAACTATCGAGTTAACACATATTCATAAGATACTAATCATGAACAGATTTGATTGATTAGAGGGTTGAAAACATTTTTCTGAATTTAGCTAAATCAACAGATTTGAGCTATATTCTTAAGTCTTGATTACGCATGTAAATTTATAAAGTACTAATAATATTGCGCACTATTATGCACATTTTGTTTTGGCGTTCGCTTGGTGCGCAATTCTTTTTTCTATGAGATTCTGTTCTATTTTTAAAAGTATAAGTAATTAAAAATCATGTCTATATTCCAAGTTATATAAGAATATTCGAGAAAGTTTAGGGGAGATCACTCCCGGTTTATTAAAATTTGTTTTTACATTAGTCTTAACAGTGGCTCCAAAATTATTTCAAGTGGCGATACCCTTTTAGAAAAAGTAAGTGACCCGCGATCCCATTGTAATTAAAAAGTCGAAATCAAAAAGGAAATTTATAAGGACTAAAATAAGATTTTCTTGTACCCTTTAGAAATGAATTATTCTTGATAACCGTTTAAATACGATAAGTAAAATTGCATGATATTAACTAGCCCCAAAATTCGCAGTTGAGTTTTTGTTAACGCCAATCTCATGTCATTCTCAACATTTAATTTAGCTCTTTGTTTTGCTTTTTAAATTGGAAAAGTATTGGAAATCTATTCTCGCAAAGATATGTAGACACAAAAGAAACTAAACCTCGAAAGGCAATCTTTTTCACGTTTGGGTATAAATGGTGAGCAGTTTTTCATATGACGCGGAGTCATTCCGCAAACTTAAGAATTCATCTTGTAATTAATCGGAAATTTTGGCAACGTCAAGGGACGCTAGGAATAGGTTACGTGTGAGTGTAATTTCTTCTTCTTTCAGCTCAGGGAAATAAAACGCCGCGATTCGTTTTCTAGAGATTTAAGATGCCCAGAAATATCATGTTTCAATTTTTTATTTACCTTACAATCAGATTCATCTACCACACCCCAGAATTTCTTAAACATGGCAATATTTCCAAGATTTATTTTTCTTCGCCAAATGTGCAGCTCTGATGTAAATGCCAAGAGTTTATCATGAAAAGAGATAATATTCGTTCATTGTGTATGTTGATTTTCGAATATATCTTCAACCACACCATGTCAGTGAAGTATATCACCAGAAAACTTAAAAACAAGGTAATGAAAAAAGCCTGAGAACCACCGCTAAGTGTGGCGCCCAACACACGATGTCGACGCGGGTCGATCAATATTATTTCTTTACTCGATCAAAAATCTATGATACTGTGCGTATAACTGTTAGTGGAAAGTGTGGCACCAGCTGTCGCCTATTGGTAAATGCTTTGCGGAGAGGCACTTAATGGATTCGATTAAACGCCAGACCCCCTGGTGTGTTCGCTTCAGTGAACCCGACATTAATCACCCTGAACTGTCAAATTTAATTAGGCGGGCTATCATGTTGAAGTTGGCCCAGTGGCTGCGATCAATATTAACTCTGGGCCCAATCAAACGAAAAGCTTTGGTGTCGGATCGATACGTAACAGCTGTCGCTAATGAGTAACAGGTGTCGCTAATTGATGTTATACACAAAGTACACGTTAGCGCACCCCTCCCCTCAACCCCCGTCATTACACCCCCTCTCCTCCTCGACCACCACCCCTCTCAACCACCACCACCCCTCTCCAACACCACCCCAGGTGGTGGCGTGGTTTACTATTAAACATATATACAATCAAATAAACAAACAAACAAATTAAACAAACTAATTAAAATCAAACTAATTAAAATCAAACAAATAATCAAATTAATTTAAAAATCAAACTAATAATAAATTAAAATTACAAAATTAAAATTTAAAAAATTAAACTAATTAAAAAAAATAAATAAACAACAAGTAAAAAACAATTACAAAATAAAATTTAAAAATGAAAAATAATAATTTAAAAAATTTAAAAATTTAAAAAAATTAAAAATTTAAAAAATTTAAAAATTTAAAAATTTGAAAAGTTAAAATCCAATTACGTAGCTAGTTAATAATAATTAAACTAATTAAAAATTAAAATTAAAAATTAAAAATAATTAAAAATCAAACAAATAATCAAATTACGTAACTCGTTAATAAAAAGTAATTAAAATTTAAAAATTAAAATCAAACTAATTAAACAACTCATTAAAATTACGTAACTAGGTCACTGATTACGTCACAAGGTCACCGAAGGTGATTACGTCACAAGGTCACCGGTGGTGACCCACCCTTACCCTCCGCAAACGCCAGTTGGGGGAGTATTATACTATATCTCATTGTACTATATCTATATTTTACTATATCTCATTGTACCTCCGCACCCTTCACCCTCACCCTTCACCCTTCACCCTGCGCCAGTTGGCGTAGTTTTTTACTATATAACATGTCTAACCCTCACCCACCTGCTCCGCCAGTTGGCGTAGTATTTTACTATATGTACCTCACCCTCCACCAGGGAGTTTTTTACTATATCTCGTTGTACCTCCGGCTCCTCCGCCTCACCCTGGTGGGTGAGTATTTTACTATATGTCATTGTCCCGCCGGCTGCGCCAGGCGGGGAGTATTTTCCTATATATCCTTTGCTCACCCTCACCCTCACCCTGCGCCTGCGCCTGCGCCTGCGGATACTAACCAAAAGGGACCTAATATACTACTGACGCACCATCCGTATATACCCCACAGCCGTTTTCCCATGTAAATCATCCAGTTTAAAAAAAAAGTATTTATTTTACTCATATATTCACAAAATAGCAACTTTTCATTGCTATCATCTGAATAAATACATTTCCCAAAGACAAGCAGCTGCAAACATGTACTCACGACTGTTGATTCATCAACATAAAAAACAAACAGTAGTGAAAGCTTGATTTCATTCCACATTTCTTCTTTTACATCTACGGACATGTCTACTATAAGCTACTAAATAGTAGAATTAGACAGAGCTTTTTGTTGCATCTTTACTGCACTGGAATCCTCAAGAATTAATTTCACCCTCTTTAACATGCGGGGTTTGATGAGATTTTCTCCTATTGTGTTGTTTTTGTTTGGCAATTTCTAATGCAACTTCATTTGATGCTTGCACTAATGATGTGTTTCCTTGAAGAAAACTTCCTGTTCGATTAAGTCTCTTACGTTAGCATCTAGCTTCATGCCGACGAAAGAAGTCCAAATCTCGTCGTTTTATACTTCCCTGAGTCGGATTTTTTTTGGCCGTATGTGTGTGTATGTGTGTGTGTGTATGTGTGTCTTTGAACACGATAACTTGAGTATCATTATAGTTAGGTTGATGTTATTTCATATATGAGTATAAAAACAAATATGTAGTTCTGTATCAACTTTTCAGGGATTTCCGGTAACCGGAAGTGGGGCTCATTCTATTTTCAATTTTTCAAAAAACCGATGAATACTCTTTCAGATATATAAATGAAATTTCACATGTAAGTATATCTAGTTCTCTACTTTCTGTCAAATTTCTCAAAAAAGAATGTAAATTTATAAAATACTTATAATATTCCGCACTATTATACACACATTGTTTAGCGTTTACTTGGTGCACAATTACTTTTTCTACGAGATTTTATTCTATTTTAAAAAGTTTAAGTTTTTAAAAATAGATTAAAAAACATATCTATATCCCGAGGTGCCATCCCCCATTGTGTTATATAAGAATATTTGAGAAAGTTTAGGGGAGATCACTCCCGGTTTATTTATTTATTTATTTTTGAGAAATCGGAAAAAGCATAAAGTACTACATCAGCTCGGTGTAGCTTACTCAAAATGTATTAAAACGATGAATAAAATATTTTACTTCGTTTGATATCTTCTATATATACTTCTCTACGCGGGGACTATGCGAGACACCACCAAAACGTAAGCTCAACAGACCATAATGCAACCAGCCCCACCCCCACCATTCTGTTGAGCTGTTTACAATCGTAGTGACAACTATTAGGGGCAAATAATTTAGTTTTTAAACGAATTGAAATTAAGGGGAGGTAAATAAAATGTTATGCTTTCTCTTTTCATTGTCGTCTGTACAATGTCGTCACAGACGGCTGCTTTCACAGAGGCGGGGGGGGGGGGGGAGGAGTGGAAAGTGAGGGTGAGGATAATCGACCTTCACTAGCAACCATTAGTGTTTAAAAGCTAAATATTTTCAGCATTGGTGGTGTCGAATTCACAAATTATGAAGTGCTGCAAAATAGGAATTAAACTAAATAGCGGCGTATGCTAAGTCCCGGGTCAGCTCGTATTATATAAGTAAAGTTATAGAAACAGACAGACAGACAGGCAGGCAAACAAGCAAGCAGGCAGAGAGACAGACAGGCAGGGGTGCAGGCAGACAGGATTTACAATAATTGCTGTATAACCAAATAAAATTAAAGTACAATACATTTCTATTATTTCTAGTCAACCAAGTAATTAAAATAATTATAGACTATTTCCAAATTTAGTTTTTAAATATAAGCTGTTTAAATGAAAATTAACCGAAACGTCTTTAAGATACTTATTTTGGTATATTTAATTTATTTATTTCATCATAATTTTTTATGAAAAATTGTGATAAAAGACAGAATAAATAATAATCTAAGAAAAAATGTTTACCCATTTACTGTCCGTCAACATAGACTTTAAGCTGACTATACAATCAGACTTAGACAAGAGAACCTACACTGATATTTAATAATCGATATTGAAAAAAAATGTTTGACACAATTATTTTATTTTATTATTTAATTAAATGTTACAAATTGCATGCTTTTTTGTAGCCTCGCAACCTTGTTCAAGGCATTTAACAGCGAAAATAACCTGATGTTGATTTGTCAGATTTTGTGTCAATCACTGTTCCATTTAAGGTGGTAAGACCACAATATTTGGATTGCTTGGAATAGGAATATCCTAGACATTTAGGATTTGATACGCAAGAGTTGAAACAATCCTATTAGTGAGAAAAGAAGACATATTATTTTACATGTACATTTATTGTACAGGTAACAGGTCTCTCTCTCTCTCTCTCTCTCTCTCTCTCTCTCTCTCTCTCTATATATATATATATATATATATATATATATATATATATATATATATATATATATATATATATTGCCAATTTTTCATAATGATTTTTGTCATGAATAAATCATTTGTTACAGTATTTGTCAAAACAAGTGTTCATAAAATGAACAATGTGAATGTTTTAAAATAAGTTAGATTGCACCATTTTAAGATTCACTATATTAAATATCGCTAACTTTTTTTCCATTTTTTGTTCATAACAATTTAAACACACATCTAAATATCCCCCGTTATAATGTAGTGAGATGTAGAAAGAATTACCTTGTGACTACCAAAAGTCGCCACTGATGGACGAAGAAACGAATACACCAAACAGTCACCTGTTTAAACAAATGTTTTGTTTCATTATATTAATCGTATAAATAAAATGATACATCATCCATATCATAGACGCGTTTGTGTATGCTCACAAAAAAATTACTTTGATAAGAGAATAGGATCTGTGCCTCTGAACTATCCCTTAACAATAATGTGGTTAAGGACTAGACGAAAAATACAAAAACAGAGACATAACTTTGGAATTAGCTCGACAGTGAAAACCGTCCTGTCTAAAGGCCAAAATATCCAAATAATTAGACTTGTTAGGACAATGCTTAAAGAACATACGGTGATAAGTGTTGGGGTTCACTGGATTTGGCTGGGACTAGATGCAAGATACTTTTTTTTTAAGCCATTGGGTGCTCGTTTGCTAATTCTTAGTATGTTAACAGTGTTCTGTCCGTTTTAGTTTGAAATAGCAGTAGGTTTCGATGTCGGGTTCGCACTGTTTAAAAGTGATTACTGACAAGAATAATGCCTTTATTTTTTCACAGTGGCTACCAGCTCCATTTAAATACAAAGGGAATTCACGTTACTTTATATATCCTACGGGTTAAGTAAACACGCTTAGTAAATCTTGTCTTTAATTGTTTCACACACTTAATATACATATTATATTCTTCTTCTTCTTCGTTCTTAATTTTTAGTGTTGAAAGGGATCGAGCCTTATCTGCCAGAGGGTTTGAACTCGAGACTTTTTCAAATCTTACATATATTATAAATAGAATGACATTAGTGGTCGGCGTGGTCGAGTAGGTAAAGCTCATGGTTGCTATACCGAAAAGTCTCGAGTTCGAACCCTCGGGCAGATGAGGCTCGTTAGCTGGGGACAGACGCTCTTCTAGGAGAGACAACTCCAAAATTAAACAACTGCTGCCTTGTAGTTTGTTCTTGGTTGGACAAAGGCTGTGGAAGCAAATCCAAAAAGAAAAAGCAGGCTGAAATCGTAGTCAATGGCCTCAATGGCGCATAACCAGTTGACACGTAACGCTTAATTGTGTTGGAGGCGTGGTCGAGTCGGCAAAAAGCTCATGGTTGATAAATTCGAACAAAGTCTCGAGTTCAAACGCACTGGCAGATAAATCTCGATCCCCCTCAACACTAATAATTAAGAACGAAGAAGAAGAGAAGAAGAACTTTTTTTCCCACACACACCTTCCCAGAAATATTCTTAGCAACTTCACAAAGTTTCATGGACATTGTGTGAACAGTGTCACTGTAATTCACTTTTATTATTTTTATATATTGCACATGTAGAGAAAAATCGGACCCTCCCGAGGCGCCACCCTTGCGAAATTAATTTTTTTTTACATAACCCTTCCCCTGAGTGTTCTTATGAACTCACCAAAGTTTGATGGTGATCAGATGAATGGTGTCAAAGAAAAATCTATTTCTATTTGTATGTACCGTATATTTAGAAAAATTGCACCCTCCCGTGGCGCCGCCCTTGCGAAATTAAAAATGATTATTTTCACCGAAACCTTTCACATAGTGTTCTTATGAACTCACCAAAGTTTGATGGCGATCGGATGAATGTTGTCAAACCAAAATCGACTTTCATTTTTATTTACCGTATATTTGAGAAAAAAACAACTCGCGAGCTGCCGGGGCGCCACCCCCGCGAATTTGAATTTTTTTTTCGCAGAAATCTCCCCTGGAATATTCTCAACAACTTTCCAAAGTTTCATGGCGATTTGATGAGAGGTGTAGTAATGCATAAAAGACAAACACACACACACAAACATTGCTTTATATATAGATAGATAGATAGATTTCGCCATACCAAATCTTTAAAATAAAAAAACATATATATTTCTAGAGCGTTTTGTGTTACAAAAATTTGCCAGCTGACTGTATTAGGGTTACTACAAGAAGGATCAATGGTTACATTGCCGATATATATATATATATATATATATATATATATATATATATATATATATATATATATATATATATATATATATATATATATATATATATATATATATATATATATATATATATATATATATATATATATATATACTAGTTGATGAAATTTTAGAACTACACAAAAAGTTGCTTTTTCAAGATGGCCGCAGTTGCCATGGCAACCACATTTTTAAAAAAGTCTCGGATGCTTGCCAATATTTCCTTTAAAAGTACCCTAACTAAATCAATAAAACGTTTTAATTAAGAGCCTTCCCCCTTAAAGAATCACCTGCGTTTGAGATACAGCTGATATACGGATTCACCTCCACTTCATTATTAGCTGTGTCAACTGCAGCTCCAGACATCAACATTAGATCACATTTCGTGCCAAGTTTGTAGAGATACGAAAAACATTGGCGACTCGCTAAACATTTTTTAAAGCAGTCCTAGAGTTAATAAAGATAGATTAACTTTTCATGACAAGGGTTAACCTTATCAGGGGTGATGTGAAAATGGGAGAAATACATATCTTAATTACTGAAGCAAATATAAGTGCTCTTCCGGGGTGGGGGGCGGGGGGTGGGGGTGAATTTCTTAGTATTATTTTTTTCTGGTATACGTTTAATACGCAAAATTTTAATATGGTTGTATCGAAAAAAATGATTGCAACTATTTCTTTATTAAAGCTTTTTACTCAGGCACTAAAAAAGCGCTAACTAGTGTTAATTGTTTTACCAAGACTACTTAATGTAGCTGGTATAAACTAATGTAAGAGGATAAGATTTATCAAACGATATCGTATTCATTTACGTTGGATTTTATATAAATGAAGTGAGTTAAAATTCAATCACTTTTTATTTAAAAAATCTAATAAGTACACAAACTTATGGGAATTTAATTAAGTTCATTTTAGCTAATTGGACGAGGCATAAAGATTTATAGTCAACTTAATATTAATTGGCAATACGGACAGCACTAATGAAACTGTCACACATATTCACTTTGTTAAGCTTTTATTTTACCATGAAATATAAACAGTTCAATCGTTTCCAGTTGCTTTAACACCAACCAAATTAAATAATATTTTCCCAATGCGTTATCTAATCAATCATTCTATAACACTATATGATGAGTTCCGTATCGAAACAAAAGTATTACCTGGTTAGTTAAGTTGGTGTAAGTTTGAAGGGTGACCCCTGGGTAGGCAACACAACTTGCTGAAAATAAAAATATATACTATCCACCATAAGCAGTGCCGGCGCCAGGTTATTTAGCGCCCTAGGCAAAACTTATTAAAAAGCCCGCCCTCCCGCAATTTTTATTATATATATATATATATATATATATATATATATATATATATATATATATATATATATATATATATATATATATATATATATATATATATATGTATATATATATATATGTATATATATATATATATATATATATATATATATATATATATATATGTGTGTATATAGCCTATATATTAGAAGACTGTCTCACTAAATTCTAAATTAAATCATTTCATTGCAAAGTAAATGCATCATGATACAACAAATCACACACAGATCGGCTCATTACTGGCTTGGAATAATTAAGTTTTAAAATGTCTTATTTACGCCCAACGACATTATGAATAGTGTTCCTTTTTATTTGGCAAGTCGGTCAAAGACTATGAATCAAAATAACCTGATATGTGTAATGGTTTCCCCTGTCCTTTTTTTGTGTGTTTTTATTTTTGTTTTGCATTTATACTATTACTTTGGAATGAATTCATTTTTATAGCTTACTAATTTGTCAGGATGCCTTCTGTATGGGGCTTATATAAGATTGTTTCAAAAGCTAAAATGTATGAACAATAACTAACCCCACCACACCTACCCCCACAGGTCCTTTGTATAATTTTGTTTTTCAGGTCAGACAAGGTGTCAAAACTTGCGGTCAGTAGAGCGTCATCAGGGGACGAGGACTGAGCTTTGAGGCCTGGCACAGATACGCTACTGCCAATACCAATGGTGACAATCTTTACGTTAAGGCTCTTCAACGGGTTGGTCGCTGGTATGGGAATACATATCAAATTAATTTTAATGTGTTGTACCAAGATAAGGCAAACATTTTAAAAATATTAGCTTTGAAAGTGTATTAATAAAAACAAAGTTAAAGATAATGGCAAGTACAATCAAGACAAAACATATATCTTAAGCGAAAGAAGTTAAATTTATCAGACTTAATCTAATAAAATTAAAGCCGTAAACTTTACACTTGTTGAAATAAGCCGAGGAACCATCAGCGATATAAACGGCGACGCTTTGAGCAGATTTTCTTGCTGTCTCCTTGTTAGAGAACATGTTCCATCCCAAAATGGTGTTGTAGACTTGATCAGTCAGGGCTGGGCCATTTTGGCTTCCTGGTCCTTTCAAAGCCTGGGGAAGTGGTTTTTGTAGGCAAATCTTTAAGTAAAGTCATGCTAGTCAATAGCTTAAGCAACAAACCAAGCAAAGGAAGCCAAAGTTAAAGTTATGAAAAGCATCCACTTATTACAGATGCAACCAGAACATAGTTACATTACAATTTTTTTTTTTAAATTAGGCCTATAGATGCCATGTTTGTTAGCAGTATAGTTAACATATTCTATTTAAGGGAAAATGAATTGTTATAAGTTTTGAGTAAATATTATGTAATATTTTAAAGAAAAAAGGAAAACCATCCGCTGAATACAGCAGTACCCCTTACCCGCTATGCAGGACGCCCGATTAACGGATGTTAAGTGCTTAAATAGCCGCTGTGGGACTCTGGGCGCACAATTATGTATTGACAAAAATCGCACACTTTCGGGCACCGCCCATAAGATTTTTTTTTTTTTTTTTGCGGAAGCCTCCCCTAGAGTATTCTTATCATCTCCCCAAACTTTCATGGCACTCTGATCAATGATGACGAACCGCATTCCAACTTTTGGTTGTTTTCTTTTGTATACTGTATATAGAGAAAAATCGCACCCTCCCGGGTTCTCACCACGGCGAATTTTAATTTCTTTCCCTCAGAAACCTCTCCACGATTATTGTCAACAATTTCCTAAAGTGTGATGGCAATCGGATGAAAGGTGTAGTAATGCATAAAAGAGAAACAAATAAACATAAATAGCTTTTTTTATATAGAGATTGATATATTATATATCATTCATTACCGACTGTTGTAAAAGGCTTGCCGTCCAACATTCTTTTGTTTTTGACATTTTGATGGATTACCCTTCCCACTTTAGTTTACTTAGAATCTAATAAATAAACAACTACGTCACTAAGATCACATTAATACATACAGACAGATAGAGAAATGGATTCTGAATAAAATAACATCCACCTTTTAATTATATTCGACAAAAACAATTTTACGAAGATTCTGGCTATGTCAGTTCCCTCAAACTATTAAGCTGGCCCTAGATCACGACGCAGCAAGACGGTAGTAAAACATCCATTACACAGTTAAACTACCATCCTGCACCTTCTATATCCTTATCATGGGTACCACACAAATGCGAAGGTAGTTCTATAGATGCTACCTTACTTTTAACTACAGATTTTAAAGTATCATGGCGTTCAACCTACTTCTGAGCCATGCTATCTTACAGGTTTTAATCTAAGCGTGCATCAGTGTTCTTGCTTTCTTATCTTTTCAAATTTAAAAAAAAAATATATTTTTAAAGCTTATTCCGTTGTTTTTTTACATATTTGAAAAGAAATAAGTCATATTTTGCATTCTTTCATCTAAATTGTCAGTGTGACTCTTAATAGATAAATAACTTAAGATTGACTCACAGTAAACGTAGGAGGTTGAAGATGTATGTATCAAACTGTGACTTCATATTAAGGCGTTTAAACTATCTACAATAATCTTACAAAAAAAAATGAAAAGCGGTCAAAAATCTAATTTCTTTACCTTTTCAAAAGCAGCATAATCGGTCAAACTCCTGATGTCATACAACGTGACAGCGCCCTTAACGTAACCGACAGCAGCAAATCTGGCGTCATTGGGTCCGATCTTGTACTGTTTGATGACGTCAACCACAAACTGGAGCGCCTTGTTCCAGTTCACGGTACCAGCACAGTTGACGTAGTCGATAAAAAACGTCACGTCAACTTGTGTGTTGTCTGGGCATCTGAGGTCAGCTTGTGGAACGATAGTTTAGAGTTGATTTTATAGGTTTTGACTATGTGTTTTTTTGTTATATACATATATTATATATATATATATATATATATATATTTATATATATATATATATATATATATATATATATATATATATATATATATATATATATATATATATATATATATATATATATATATATATATATATATATATATATTATATATATATATATTATATATATATATATATATATATATATATATATATATATATATATATATATATATATATATATTACGGTCAAAGCCCGAAGTCCGCCAAAGCACGCATTGGCCGGCCAATGTAGCCTTGGCCACCGGTCAGCGACTGTGAAGCCCAAGGTTCGTAGTGATTTTTCCTCAGTGCCAAAGTGTGACAATGAGAGCAGTTTTTTGTGAAGAATTGAAAACCCAGTTCTAGCATATAGTTGGTTTAGAACACCTCGTTCCGTTCCTAGCTTGTAGAAAACGCCCTCGACGCTGATGACAACTGCAATGACGCTTCGGAGATCACAGCGACCTCTTTCTACATCTGGTATACGGATGCAAACATTATCTCCCACTTCAGCTTGTTTAAAATTTGTATCTGATTGTTTTAGCGTCTTGGCACCTTGAGTTTGCAAGCTGCCAAGCTAGTATGAGATGCTGCTGTTGTCCATGATTTCTTGTTTATTGTGACATAATCTGCAAGTAATGTTCCCTCCGTACCCTTTGTCTGCTTCACCGGCTACTATGAATGTTGCATGGACATCGTTGCTACAGAATCCACAAGAATGGGCTACACTACAATATTTTTCATATACTACACATAATCTGTTGGCCTTATTATTGTCATGTTTTTCATAAATTGAATACATTTTTGAGACTCTCAGCACAATGAGCTGATTAATTTTTCTGCATCCATGTAATCATCATGTTTTTAACATCTTGGTTGGCACGTTCTACTGAACCTTCGATATGGCTATACCTTGGATTTCCGTGAAATAGTTTAAGTTCAGTCCACATGTTCTTTAGTTCAGAAATAACTTAATTCACAAATTCTCTTCCATTAGCATTTGGATTATTTATTTTGGCAACCATCTGATATGTCTGTCACTTGGTCTGACGGCCCTTTTGGTCCATGTCGCATTGCGTATAGAATGCTATACAAACAATGCATTACTCACAATGAAACCGCACCCAGAATAATGAAAACGCGATCACAACTTAGTCTAGATAGAACATTGGCTAGGACATCCCGGCCAGTGCGTGCATTGGTTGGCCAATGTATGAAATACTTTGTCAATTTAAAATTTTTCAAACTTTGGCCATCAGATCCCGGCCAGTGCGCGCATTAGTCGGCCAATGTAGGAAATACGTTGTCAAGTTAAAGGTGTTCGGACTTTAACCAGTACGTCCCGGCTAGTGCGCGCATTGACCGGCCAATGTACGAAATACGATCTCAGTGCTAAGCTATTCGGGCTTTGGTCAAGAGAGCCGGACAATGTGCAAATTGGCCGGCGAATGCGGGCTTTGGTCGCACTTCGGGCTTTGACCGTAACATATATATATTATACAGAAAAAGACATACTAGGGGATGTTATCGTGAAGTTACATTTACTTACCATTGTAAGCGTTAACTAATAATGATTGCAGGATCAACACTTTTGCAAAAGTAAACACCCACATTTTCTTCTCTTTTTTTTGTCTTGAGTCAGTAAAAAATATTATATATGTGTGTGTATATATATATATATATATATATATATATATATATATATATATATATATATATATATATATATATATATATACATCAGTAGCGTACGCAGAGGGGTAAGCAGGGTAGCGGCGTGATAGTGGCGTCTTGGTAAAACCTTAGTTTAGCGTCGAAAATTCGAACGAAACTAGTAAAGTGCGGTGGAGGTAACTAATGAATATTTATCATTTGGGCATATTCATGACGTATTTTACAAACTATAACAGATAATTAAATAACATATCATGACCAAACCAGTCAAAAATATCGTGGAATAAACTTTAAACTACCCTGTTCGAGAGTCGAGACAACAATGAGTAAATACAAGCAGCGGCCATGTTTCAAGAACAATAATAAAGTAGTTTCCCCTGAAAATTGTCTATTCGCATGTCTGTTGTGTTGATTTTACATTATGGTTTTGTATTTTTTTTAAATATGCATGTATAGTAATTTTTCTTTTTTTTCCCAATATATTTTAAATGAATGACTCATAGACCTTTTCAAACTTACTAGTGTGCATCCAATACCACAACAATTGTTGGGAGGTCGAACTTTTGAACACTTGTTTTTGCTGTGATCAAATCAATATTAGATCGCCAATAAATGACGTCGCTATTGCAGAACAAATATGATGATGAACATATTAATTCAGATAGAATATATGATTTATGGTAGGAATAGGTTGATTAGAACTCAGCGATGTGATTTTAAGACGAGTCAGGTTTTTTTTTTCTCCTGAAAACGGGATGGTTGTGGGAGAGACCAGCTGTAGAAGTATGACGTGTCATTCATTGGTGATCTATTTTGTCAGTGGGGACGATAGAAATATTTAGAAGGGTCAAGAAATGTAAAATGCAGGCTGAGTCGCATTTCTTGAACCCCACTTTTTCATCCCCCACTTAGCACATCGTCACCGAGTTAACGCTCGCGCGTTACGTCATGTACCGGTATCGCCAACCGTTTGGCTAATTTTATAGAAAAAAAAACAAAAAACAAGCACTTTGACACTTATGCTTAGCCTTGAAACATTCATGATGATTCGTTTTGAGCAAGGTATACGTATACTATTGCTTATGTATAGTTATGTTGATTTAGCATAGCATTACAGAGGTTTTCCATCAATAACCTAGGTAACTTTCCGCCGATCAGCTCCTTTCATTAGACCTACACGTCATAAATTGCGGAGTCGCCTGAGTTGATGTCACAAGTCTTCACTCACTCCCGTAGTAAATCATATGTGACATCATTTATGGAGAGCCCCATGTTACTCATTTTGGTGTTTTATATTGACATTTTGACAACAAACGATAACCAAAAGGGGTGGAGTGGCTGATATTTTTAGATTATGTTTTACAAGGGAAGCTGGTGGATAATAAATTTTGTCTCTCTATTTTAACAAATGATGAAAAACATGGCTAAAGATCTTACAGGCAGAGCAAAACGTAATTTTTTTACATTATGACTTTTTGTTACATTAACAATTAAAATATGATGGAGGTTGGGGTTTAATTAAGGTAAAAAGAAGTAAAAAAAATGTAATAATTTACAATAGAATCACTAATTTAATGGAAAAAAAACTGAAATCAAAATAGCGAACATTCAAACAATAAGAAAAACTCAAACTGTAACGATCAAATAAACATTAGTACAAAAAACATGATTCTATACATGGATACTATTTGCATATCACAATACTTCTAGAATTAATGTTGTTTGTTTGTAAACTCAGTTTTTAAAGAGCAGAATTTAAAAAAAAATAATGCTTTGTAGGCCTATACAAATACAAGTCAATCAAATTAAGGGAAGCTACTCTAAATAATATTTTCTTAATATGGCTGCTGTTTTTAATAGCAAATTTACTATCTCGAACAGGGTTGATAAAAATAAATCTCAGGATATTTTAATTGATTTAACCAAAAATGGTGATCTATTATTCAATTATCTATAATATTATATTAAAAAAAGACATATTCTTTAATTCACTCTCCCGCACATTACTAAGGTTTTACCAGCGTTTTTCTCAGAGATTAATTAAATAATATTTAAAATACGTTCATCAAAACAAAAAAAAAACAACAACAGCAAACACATTACTGAAACTACGAACTGTCATGTTATGTACCCTAATTAATTTCTTGTCTTACTTATCGGCCCCTAGCTCAGCGCAAGGCATATGCGAGGCGTTTTTTTGTCAGCAGGTCTGTCAACTTCAGCTCCTCTACATCTGATGTTTGTGTTATTACTGCTGGATTTTGATCGTCAACTAACTAAATATCAATCACAATTCACAATTGCAGCCTTTGATTCAGTTGTCATGATGAGTTCAACCATACATCTTTTATAAGAGAGGCATATAGACTGTGCGTTTTTAGATCAATCTAAAAACGTAGGGCAATTCGATTTAGTTTAACTTTGATATGCTAATATTAGCAGAAATTGAAACTACATGTCCTTTACTTGTCAACTGATCTAAACAAATGCGCATATGTTTACATGAATTGTCTTAAAAGTATATGGGGGATGGGCAGTAAGGTGAATAAATGTACAAAAATAAAAATAAAACATTCTCAGAACTTGTTTCAATGAGGCAAGATGATCAGCCTGTACTGATGTTCACGACGAACATATACTTAAATAGGCCTACCTCTGGTCAATTTGGTTCAAACAATATAAAAACTTTGTGGATAAGGCTAAAACTGCCTCCAAAAGATGAATATGTAAACTCCAAACAAAAAATAGGCTAACTTTTTATTTTACAATCAGAATCATAGCTTTTGAAACAGGAAAATCGCTGTGAATATTGGTTTTTTTTTTTTTTTTTTTGCAATTGCCAGTAAAGAGAAGTGTAAAAATTACAGTGATCTAAACTACTCCTGATCATTAGCTTAATAAGTAATCTTTTAAGACCACAAACAGATGTAGCTAATTTAATCATTTAATGAAGGGAAAAATATACTATTTTTTCCCTTTAAAGCTTTAGTTTTCCTTCGGATTTTAAAGTTCGCTTTTATACGATCTCCGCTTTGACAAACTTTCTTTATGCTGTGCTGTTTAATCATTTATAAAGTAAATATATTTAGCTCTGATTGTAAACAATACATGCATATATATATATATATATATATATATATATTTATATATATATATATATATATATATATATATATATATTAGGCCTCATATGATACTTACCTTTCTTAAATTTCGAAGCGCATTAACTGCTGCAGTTACAAGCTATCTAACCTTTTATCTGAAAATGTCCTCAATAAATATTTACTTATTAATTATACATTCTATTGAAGAACTGTTGAAACGTTAGGAAATAATTAATATAGGCTTGTTGACGGCCTACACTCTTATATGGTTTATCGTGCATGTCAAAAAGGTGAATATAGTTCAAAGATATGTTTTATTATTTTACACTTTAGAGAGAAATATAGTGAATGACAATAGGTGAGTGAATCTTCTTCTTCTTCTTCGTTCTTAATTATTAGTGTTGAAGGGGATCGAGATTTATCTGCCAGTGGGTTTGAACTCGAGACTTTTGTTCGAATTTATCAATCATGAGCTTTTTGCCGACTCGACCACGCCTCCAACACAATTAAGCGTTACGTGTCAACTGGTTATGCGCCATTGAGGCCATTGACTCCGATTTCAGCCTGCTTTTCTTTTTGGATTTGCTTCCATAGCCTTTGTCCAACCAAGAACAAACTACAAGGCAGCAGTTGTTTAATTTTGGAGTTGTCTCTCCTAGAAGAGTGGCTGTCCCCAGCTAACGAGCCTCATCTGCCCGAGGGTTCGAACTCGAGACTTTTCGGTTTAGCAACCATGAGCTATACCGACTCGACCACGCCGATCCCTGGTGAGTGAATGTCTGTTGTCAATAATGTTATTTTAACAGTCAGACTAAACTAATATGTTGTATACAATGTTTTTCTATTAGTATACACCCAACAAATTCAATACTAAATATCTCCGTGTCTGTCTTGACAATTATATTTGCTTTTTCGTAGCTGGTAGTTTTGATGATTTTGAGGTTATAATCATGATTAGATGTATAGATTGATAGGTTTTCAAAAACTGGCCCGACTCAGCTAATTCAAAAGCCAAATATAGAAAAGAGTATTCGGGATCTCTGTTTATTACCAACATGCAAACTTGAATTACAAAGTCAGTTCGTTGAAAATTTATTTTGTTTGAATACTTTCAAATTGATAGTCTGCTTATCTGTATAATGATATTTTTTGGTCGAAATATTTTTTAAAAATATTTATACAGGTCATTAAAAAAATTAGTTTGTAAGAACCATAATCGTTTCTACAGTTCTCCAAAAAATGTTTCGCCTATGATATTCTGAAATGCTTATATGTTTACCACTCACTATTTTGTATATCAGCTAATTTAAATCCCCAATGAGATGACTCATATATTTCATCATGTTGTATGTTGTCATATGTTCACTCATACAGCTAAAAAGTATGTTGTGATGACTTGGCCAGCTGTTCAGTCATCAAAAATAATGGCTGTGCAATGTGTGGACCAGCTGTTGAGTCATATAGTGCGTCCTCTGGCGCCCCGACGGAGTGCTATTGCCGCCCCTGGCCTCCAACGAGCGCTATCGCGTCTATGTTCGTTTAAGTGAGTGCAAAAGACTAAGGATAAGTTGGGACTATTATAGACGTTTACTAAGTTAAATCAGGCTGTTCCTCCAATGCCGAACAGAGCTTGATATGGCGCCCCGGGCTAGACTGTGAGCACTATGCGATTATCTTTGCATTTAAGGGGATATGCTCTTTACAAAAATCACAAAACTCGTGTTTTTTTTGTCATGACGGGTTTCTTGCACTTTTGGATACTTTGTTCATTGGCACCATTGGAAATATGCATTTCTAATGTATTTGATTAGCGTATTTTCAATAATATCGGAAACACCCAAAGCTTACATTTGGCTTTACAAATTACACAGATATGGTAATTTCAAGACCTACTTTTCATTAGTTTTTGCTGTTTTTCTGAGCCTAATACTTGTTTATTTGTTAAACAATGCCTACCTTATTTTCATTAATTGTTTTTCATGCAGAAATAAAACTTTTGTCACGAAGGAATTGAGATAGCTTTCGTAGAAAAAGGTTTGTGGTAAATAATATGCAAATTTTGAAACTTTTGAATGGGTTTCTATGACAAATGAAAATTGTTTATATATATTTTTTTTTGCTGGTAAATACTTTTATACATATATTGTAAAATTATTCAAACGGCCTTAGATCTTAAATGTTAAAAAATATTTTAAAAAACGGAGCATTTCCCCTTAAGTTTGTGTTATGTTCGCGTTTGCGTTGCATTATTTTGAGTTATTGTTTTCGTTTAGGTTTGCCTTTGTGTTATTGTTTTTGTTTGTGTTTGCGTTATGTTGCTTTATGTTTGCGGGGTTTGTTTTTGTGGTTTTTTTGGTGTGTTTTGGTATTGATTGGCTGTGTTTAGGGTTAATTCCAAAAGTAATATTTTTGCTAAAAACATGTGATTTAACTTTACTTTAAAAATTTTTATAGATCATTTAATTACACCAAGTAGATGGTGACACAAAATAGCGGGTGACACAAAATAAAAGGTGACACAAACTGAAGGGTGACTCAAATAGATAGTGACACAAACACGAAATATGGTCCTGTTAATGAAGATAAAAGATTAAACCATAAGCCAAGTAGGTTTCAAGAAAATAAGGTTGATAGAGTTGCTAATTGAGACTTTAATCAGAAGCTAAGGAGGGGGAGTGAAGGATTGTTTTAGAATCTACAAATATGTTGCAAATAAATGTATTAATAATCAGGATACTTGGTAACCTTTGTTTCAATTAATCGATGAAACTTCTAATTGATTGGTCTTAAACAATAAAAGACATGTCAAACCAACTTGAGTTCAGTCTCCGTGCTCTGCAATTTAACAAGAAAAAACAAAAAGTTACGATCGTCATCATCATCGTCGTCCCTTATCCCGTATTAATAACTTCGTAATTCATCGCCATCAATCACTGTCCTTTAATCCTTAGATTAGATCTGCGATGGGCAACCCAGTCCAATCTTTGTTGTCTTCCGTCCAATGTCGTCTTTGCCCTCACATTCTTCTTCCTCCTTACATAGTGCCTTGCAAGGTAGAATACGAAGAGATAATCATCTTGAACATTGCCATGAAAGATAAAATTGAAACAATTTACACAACCAGCATAGCCTCCCCATGTCAGCATGATGAGTCATTTGTTTGTGTAATATATTTTAACAATATGTTGTTTCCTTATTTTATTTGCATTAGAGCAAGTAATTTATTCACTTGGTGCGTGAAGTAAAATGCATATAAAACATCCAGGCTATATTGAGCGATCTTGACGATCGAAACGCTGAACGACCATAGGGGTGAGACAAAGTGTTTTTCTTGTTCATCCCGGCGACACATGTTTTCTATCAAAAGAAAAATGGCATTTACATATGACATAGACAAAGACAGCCTGAATAGTAATTAACCTTGAATGTGAGTTTGAGGGAAAAATAATTTCTCATCGAAAACCCACATTATTAATAACATAACAATATTTGTTTTATATACGTTCAGATATAAATTATGTAATTGCGCCATACGAATAAAACATTAACATAGTTATTCAATTAGTAGTGCGAAATTACTGTGTAGTCGAATACCGAGACGTGCAGTGTGTTGTGGTGTGTGGCAGAGTGTGCTAGTGGAGTAGATCAACATTTTGTTCTTGATATATACCCTGCTCATCTCCGTGGTAGTTATTTTACTTGTAGTCACTAATATAAACTGTACAGAAAACGTTTGTTTTTTAATGCGAAATGAATTGTGTGAAAATCTTTGCACCACTTACATAATGTATTTCGTTCGGCTGCATGGTAGAATAGAATTATCGACTTCCCTTATTATTTCTAACTATAATTCTGGTAGATTTTCTTCATTATTTCTTAAATGAAAAGCACACTTGTTAAAGCTTTTATGGAAATTAATATGCTGCAACAATTGTTATAAATTGACACGTGAATTTAGTTTTTATTTAGCTTGTGTAAACTCAAACAACCTTTTTCTAATTTAAGATTAATAGGATAAAGAAAACTGTCAACCTTATTTATTTTTTTTGCAATGCTAAATTTGTAAATACTTTAAACAGATATTTTACTCACGGCTCTGAGGTTTTAAGAAGTACAATCGCGATAACTTAGTGCTGTCATTTTACAAAATATTACTACATTTACCAATACTAAGATCTTAATTTCAGAAAACAATTAGTTTGGTGACAAGACAAATGATCTCATGATATTTTGTCTGAGATCATTTGTCCTGATATATTTTGTCCTGGTATCTTTTGCCCGTGAGATCATTTGTTCTTGAGATCATTTGTCCTGAGATCATTTGTCCTCAGATCATTTGTCATGGAACCATTAGTTTCAATTATAAAGACGATCGACGTATAAAAAAGCTTACCAATTTAAAGCCAGATTATTAAATGATTATGAGATGTGATAACTGATGAGACATATGTCTGTTTAGACGCTTAATTTGCCAACTACTTTTGGCGATAAAGAAAAATTAACTCTGAATCAGCGTTTCCCCTCTAGCCCAAAATTCCCGAGTTCGGATCTAGGTTCGGATTTGTGAATGTAGGAAGTTTTTGAGTCCACCGTGCTCTAATGGGTACCTGACTTGCGGTTGGGAAAGTAATGGCGGCGGGGCTTAGTGCTGACCACAGTGTCCTTTCTTATACCGATGTCAGGAAACATGGACTTGACTGCCCAATGGATTCGTAGTTCTAAACAGGAATCTTTACAAGTAACCATAGAAAATAAAAAGACATGCCAATATACTTTCATAATTAAGTTTAAAAATTACCTTTGTTACGGCAAATGTACTTTTGATTCAGGTTTCTGATGGCAGTGTACTGGTTATGCCAACAGGTCAACGCAGCCGTAGCTACACGATCAGATTCAGATTTTTGAACAGACAAAATGGCAAAAAATAGATTCATAATAGTAACATTTATAATCCTTTTCTGATTTTTTTTAAAAATTAAAATTTGCAAATAAAATTCACCCCCAAATCATTGCCAAACTGTGAGATATGAGGAGCAAACGACAGTGATATTAGGAAACTATGCTAGAGTGTTTACGGCGATTTGCTCAACAAAAAATATATTTGTTTTAAATTCACCGAATACTT